ACAATTAATTGAGTATACCCTAATGGTTTACCCCTTTAACTAGGCAACTTATCTGTCTACTGATTTCTACTGATATTTAGACTGGTAGTCTACTGAAAAAACGAAATATGACCTGGCAACACTGTTCGCAGTTATGAGTACTAGGCTTAAGGCGGTTACACACGGACGTTGATGTCTGAAAACATGTACGCACATACATGAACGTGCAAACAAAAACATCAATGTGTATGCAAAATATCGTCGCGTTTTTGAATGTGCAATTTTGTATGCACACTCGGAACACCGTAGCAAGAATAGCAAGACTGCAGTTTTGTGCGAGCGTCTGTACAAAAGCGCCATGCACGTTGTTGTTTGCACGTTGATGTATGCACGTATATGTATTAAGACATCCACGACGTGTGTAACCGCCCATAAATAAATAACATCTCTGACAAGTAAACAAAATGGCGCTGATTCTCGCGCCGCCTTAAACCATTCGTACCAAGAATGGTCACGTTCACCAGCACTCAACATGTTGAGTGATTAGTTAACGGCTTTGTTGAAAACAGATGAAAATCAGCTCTAGACCAATCAAAACTGTTCTACCTTGTGTATTCCACTTGTTGGAACAAAGCCGTTTACTAATCACTCAACATGTTGAGTACTGGTGAACGCGACCAATAATACACACTAAAGGCCGAAACATACGATTTTGCATAACGCATATAAGCATAAGCGACAACCAATCACAGATTGTATGAAAAAAGTCACCTGACCGTCAACTGAAAATCAGGTGACCTTTTATACAACCTGTGATTGCTTGGGGCTTATACTTATGCGTTATGCAAAACCGTGCAGTTTCAGTCTTAAGTACTACTATACATGATAGCTGCGTAAATCAAATCTCAAGCCCCCCACCACGCCAAAGAACCAGTGATGACGTAACAGCGTTTCGTTTCTCGTCCTAATAATTCTGTTTATTGGCCAAGGAGACTATCTTCAGTTTTTCGTATCCGGACTGGGAATAGAAAAAAATTGAGACAGAAAAAAAGAGAAATAGAGGAGCTAAGATAGTTAAGAAAAAATGGGAAAAAATTTGGTAGACAAGACAAATACAAATATTTCCTATTAAATAAATTCAGACGAATACAAAAATTCAAGAGTCAGGAATAGACAAAATCTGACACAAGGAAATTTAGAAATCGAGAAAGGAAAGTTAAGAAAAATTGGTAGACAAGACAAGACAAGACAGATCATTATGAAACTCTGTTCAGTGTTGCCAGGTCTACTGATTTATCAGTAGATCTACTGATTTGGCCACTGGTCTACTTCTGACCATGGATTCTAAAAACTTGGCCAATACTGTACAATTTTTGTATTTACTTTTCTTTCATCTACTTGTTAAGGTGAAGGCTGTAGGTGGGGTGTCAATATAATAAAAAAAATACTCTGTACTTGAACAATAACTTATTATATAAAGTCAGAATTTGTAAGATTATCCATTTTTTGTCAATTCGCCAGGATTTGTTTTTCAACAGAAATTAGTAGGTAGGTACCTAATATTACTTTACCAAACTAGTAACATAATATTAGAAGTTATTCAAGTACAAACGAGTGGATTGTTGTGGAACTTATGGGTGGACCTCTGCGGGACGAGCGCAGCGAGTTCCGCAGCCATTTATTTATCAATATTTTGTTTAATTACAATACTAACCTGACTCACTCAAATGTGAGTTATTCTCATTAGTTTAAAAACTACATGGTTCAGGTAAATGTCTTACTTGAACAGTTCAGCAGTATATTGGTGAATAGATGGCTGCGGAACTCGCTGCGATCGTCCCGCAGACGTCCACCTATAAGTTCCGCAACAATCCACTTATTTGTACCTACTTGAACAGGAACTTATTATTTAAAGTCAGAATTTGTAAGATTATTCACTTTTTGTCAATTCGCCTTTCAACAAGAATTAGAAATGTTTCTTTACCAAACTAGTAACATAATGTGACAAGTTATTCAAGTACAAACGAGTGGATTGTTGCGGAACTTATGGGTGGACCCATCCATCTATTCACCAATATGTTGTTCAAGTACAATACTAACCTGATTCACTCAGTTATACATTTTTCTCATTAGTTCAAAAACTACACGTTTCATGTGAACAGTTCAATAGTATATTGGTGAGTAGATGGCTGCGGAACTCGCTGCGCTCGTCCCGCAGAGGTTCACCCATAATTAAGTTCCGCAATAATTTACTTATTTGTACAGAGTATTTTTTTTTTATTGACCACCTACAGGATTTACCTTTACAGATAGAAAAAAGGTGTAAATACAAAAGTTATACAGTTTTGGCTGAATTTTTAGAAACTATGGTCAGAAACAAAATTTGAATGTCAGAAATGTGAAATTTTGCATGCTTCCAGCTTTTTTCAAATAGGATGCCCTATATTTCATTCTATATTCTTGAAGAGCACAATGCCCCGATTCCAAAACTATATAGTTTGTCCATATTTGATTGAACAGTCTTTCATATATTCGGCGCCAAAAATTGTAAAAATACTATCCTACTAAAATCTGTTTTTTTTTTAAGATAAAAGTCAAACTGACATTCTGTTGGCAATATAATGTAAAATTGTCAATGCTTTCAAATTTTTTATATAGAAAAGGCTTGTGTTGCCAACATAGTTACTAAATTTTTGACTTAGGGAATTATCTTTAAAAAAAAACAGACTTACTGATTTTGTGAACTATTCTACCTGTACAGGTGAAAGCTGCAGGTAAAATTTGAGGTAGGTACCTACTTGCTTTCTCTAATAAATATGTTGGGGCTCAACCAAATATAGACAAACTATATAGTTTTGGAATCGTGAAATTGTACCCCCCAAAGTTCCTAAAATATATCGAAAGTTGGGACAACTAGGATAAAAAAGTTGGAGTTGGGAAAATTGGTAGACAAAAATTTGCGCACCTTATTTGCGGGGACTAATTAAAATTAACATTAGGATCGTGTCACGTGTCGTAATGAATTGCAAAATCACCGGACAACAGAATGACGAAATCCCAATGGTCGCAGCGAATTTCTTGCGTTGCACTTTGCACTGCACTAACGCCACTAGCCTGTGGCAGTGGCACGTGACACTTGTGGCAGTAGTAGCACTAGCGCCACTAGCGCTATATAGTATATTAGATAATCCAAATTTCTTATATTATGTCGCCTTCTGCGTTCTGCGCATTCTTCGCTCGCTATTCAAATTTTTTAAAAAGTTTCACTTCCTAACACGTGTACGATGCTACACATGATTTTTTTGAAGTGAAACTTCTTAGGCGGCGGTCTGATTTGGACGAGAATGGAATTACACGTTTTGGCAAATTTCGGCACACGAGAGACGAGAGAGAAGAAAGATATAACGTAGAAAGGCGGAGAAAGTCAGCGAATGATAATGACAGCCGACGAACAATTGACACAAACCAAGTGAGAGAGCGCGAGTCACAGCGAGTTTTTGTGAACCTAAGTAAGAATAGGTAATGCGTGTATTACTTCGCAGCGTGACGTGACGCAGTTTTGGTCCTGCGGAACGCAGTGTATTTGCCGCAGTTTTTCTCGTAGAGTCACGGTGCGTGTTCTGAATGTTTCGAAAATTAATTGAGGCTGTGCGGATTCGACAAGTTTCGCGAACAAAACTAAAAACTGAAAAGCAGCAGCTGCCATTTTATCTGCACTGTGGGTCTGCCTGCGAAGTGAAAACTGTCATTGTATTTGCGCGGTTACTCTTGTCAAGCGCCGATACCCTTGTGACGTCAATACAGATGCGCGTTTATCTTTTATGTCGCAATCTACAATCTTTTGTGTAGCCTTTCGTCTCTATACCCCGACTCATGCGCTACATGTGATTTTTTTTATGTTTTAATAAAGTTGGGAAAATTAGGAATGTGACCCCCCCCAAACCAGAGGCCTTCGCTACGTCCCTGCTAGTGAATACTTACCAGTTGGTCCATAATTTGGCCCTTAACAAGGCAACTTATCTGTCTACTGATTTCTACTGATATATTTAGGGCGGGTATTACAAAACTACTTTGAGAGTTAACTTAAAGTTAACTTCTGGAATTACATGTAATTCAAAAAGTTAACTTCAAGTTAACTGTCAAAGCAGTTTTATAATACCCACCCTTAGACTGGTAATCTACTGACAAAATAAAATATGGAAATGGAAATTATTTTAACGATTGGAAAATACATGCCATGCAAATTTATTACCTACCTTATAAGAAATTAAAATTAATAATTAGACTCTTCTATTTATATCCACAAAAAAAATAAAAATTCCTCCTTGATATTAATATATTATTCTCAAAACCCCAAAAATTCATTATAAGCAAACTTATTATTGGTTTCCTCGAATCTCCAGCGCAAACATCATTTTCTTGTTATTCTTCTTGCTCCAGGCTAAAAAAAAAACCAATAAGGAATGAAGCCCTACTTTCCGTATATTTGCCTGACTCTTGAGCCAGTGCCAAAAAATCCCAGTCTAGACGCAAAGGCTCAATTAAAATATAAAATTTTTATCACTACTACTTCTGGCCCAGAATGATTGTTTCGTGACGAGTGAATTTCAATTAAAATAAATCAATGATTTATTCAGTACGTCCTATCAAAAGTGACAGACTAAATGCAATTCGCCGACGAAAAGACAGCAAATTTTACACATGCCCGCCGGTAAAAGACAAAACGAATTCGCCAATAACAAGAATGTCGATATCTTTAAGGTTTTTGGCATTAAAATTGGATTCCTGGAAAACTCGTAACTGTCAGTGTAAAAAAAAAACTACTATTATTGGCTTAAACTAGAGGAATTTTCGTCCAAAATTGCGAGCACGTAGACGCGATAAACTCGAAATTACGATGCAAATTAAACTCATTATTTCAACCCTCGTGTTCCGTAACAGGCGACAATTATGCTCTTGTAAAGTTATGACTGGTTATTGTTATGGGCCTTAGGGTAAACTATCTACATCAAAACACACAAAAAAACCATCATGTGGATTATTTATTAACTAAAACTAACTTAAATGGGAGGTAAACAAACTCTAGCAAGGTGGAAAGGGCAGAGTACGTCCATAACAGCTCCTCATCCAACCCTCCCAGGCACGAAATCCAAGATTTGACTGGATTTTTCTGGCACATATTGCATCGTTTTTGATGTCATCATCGATTAAAGCTAAAAAAAAAATTAAGACTACATTCACTGGAAGTCCATTAAACTTTGCGCAATTAGGAACTTTCAAATGACTTGACACAAAGAGGAGAAAGATAAGCGCCTGCTATTATAGTAAACGACTTTGACAAAATTTAGTTCTTATCGTTGTGCTTAAATATGTACAATTTACTTTTTGGATGATCATAGGGGTGGTATGTCTGATAATCATGCTGGCCTTTTCAGTTTTCAAAGTATTAAAATTTTTGGCTTCAAATTCTTTAGTGTCTCAAAAATCTTAAGCTATTTTTACAATCTTTTAGTCTTTCTCTCAAACGATTTAAGTCAAGATTCTCATATTCTTTTGGCCTTCAGTTTTCATCAGGTCTTGAGCTTAAAACATCTTTAAAATTTTGAAATCTTTGGAGTCAAAAAGCTTAAAGAGCCTCAGAATATTTGAAGTATTCTGAATCTTAAAGGATTTCAGTCTTTAATTTTCAATCTTTTAGAACTTATGAAAAATGTCAGCGGCATTAATATTTTCGCAGTTTTCAAATAGTCTTCAAAAAGTTTAGAACAACTTAATAGAAACTTGAAAGGACCCTGGTCAAAGTATACGGAAATTGTGTTTATGTCAGAAATGAGTGAATTTTGTATATAGGTAATGTAGATCACGTCTTTCTGATTAAAAGTTACCATTGCACTAATTCTGAAAAATGACTCCACCTATAGCACGCACTACTGCACCACAAGCTTACTTTTTTGTGCTACCTACATTGAAGGTCCATTACAATGTCCAAGCGTTTTATTTGCTACCATTGACTTGCTATACCTATGAAATTATTTTTTTCAAAAAGAAGTCATTTTTCAGGATTGGTGCAACGGTAACTTTTAATCAGAAAGAGGCGATCTACATTGTATACGTATACGTTGGGCAGGATCTTTTTCTGACGTCTTCAGAATCTTTGAAAGTTTAGACTAAAGGTCTTTTATCAGTAGCGTCTGATCTGAGTGACTTCAGATTTTTCAATTTGGTGCCTTGAGAGGTTTTGGAAGGGTAGGTGCTCATTGAACTGAAATTTCAAATTGATTCAACGAAAAATCACTGTTTGAGAAAATCTTGAAAATCCACTTGAAAAATGACAAATTGAGGAAAATACATCGTTTCACTTTTTGATTATATTTTCAAAGAATTCAAGTGATAAACCTTAAAAATATCATCAAGGTCTTCAAGGTCGTCAGTCTTCCAGTGTCTTTAGAGTCCTGAGTCTTAATTTGTGAGCCCTAGAGGCTCTTGCGTTTTCTTTATTTCTTTATTCCAGGCTCTTGAATTTTCTTTAGTCAGTAAAATTCAGGAGACAAAAAGTGAGACATGAAAATTAAGAAATGGGGAGAAGCAAGTTAAGAAAAACTAAGAAAAAAAAATGGCAACACAACTACCTAGACACATATTTTTTCTATTCGAGGCTCTTGAATTTCCTTCATTGAGGAAAATAGACAAAAATTACAAAATAGAGAGAGGAATTTGAAGAAAAATTGAGGAAAAAATTCATAGACACAAATTTTTCCTATTTTAGGCTCTTGAATTTTCTTAATTCAGATAAATCAAAATTTCAAATGCCGGTAATAGATATAAATTGAGACAGGAAAAGGGAAAAATAGAGAGACAAATTTTAAGAAAAATTGAGAAAAATGTAGAAAAGATCTTGGGTTATGGGAAAAGGAGACAAAAACCACTTATTTTATTGCGATGTTTCGAATATTACGTATACTTTTTCAAAGCCCTGTTTCTGATAATCGCCGAGTTCGTTTTTGTCATCTTTTTCGTCGATTTGCTCCGAAATTTTGACAGGCACGTGATTTGTAAACTGAAACTGTCTTATCCAGTCACGTGCCTGTCAAAATTTCGGAGCAAATCGACGAAAAAGATGACAAAAACGAACTCGGCCAATAAAGAATAAACCCTTAACTTCTTGAATGACAATGACATTTCATATCCCTGGTTCATTATGTAGAAAAGATCTTGGGTCATGGGAAAAGGAGACAAAGTGGTCTTTATCTTTGTAATTTTTTTCTATTTAGAGAATTCAGACGAGCCGGAAATAGACAAAATTTGATACAGACAAATTGTGGCACTCAAAGATCTTGAGATTTAATAAAGAAAATTCCACACCATAATTAAATTATTGGTAAATTTACCCCAAATTGCTTAACGCGATTTTTTTTTTCTGAAACTATAAGTCCAAATGAGCTGAAATTTTCAGGGATTGCAGTCCCTTTATTCAGAAAAATTTCAGCTTTCTATCTATAACAGAAAAAAAGTTATGCCCTTCCAAAGTTTTCCAAAATCTAAATCTACCTTCTTACTAAAACGATGAAATTTCAATTTTTTTTTTGTCGAGATTTTGTATTCTAATGGTCAATCAACGTACCCCAAACTCCATACACTAAATTATTCTCAGATTTGAAATCGAAATCCATGAAAAAAGGCACTCAGAAAAATTGAAAATTGATAGATCACCCCAAATTGCTTAACACGAGTTTATCTCAGGAATTATAAGTGCAAATGAGCTGAAATTTTCAGGGATTGTAGTCCCTTTATTCAGATAAATTTCAGTGAAAATTTCAGCTTTCTATCTATAACAGAAAAAAAAATTTGCCCTTCTAAAGTTTTCCAAAATCTAAATCTAAATCATAAGGCTACCTTCTTACTAAAACGATAAAATTTCAATTTTTTTTTTTTCGTTGAGATTTTGTATCTTAATGATCAATAAACATCCCACAAACTCCATACACTAAATTATTCTAAGATTTGAAGCCGAAATCTATGAAAAAAGGCACTCAGAAAAATTGATAAATCACCCCAAATTGCTTAACACGATTTTATCTCAGGAACTATAAGTCCAAATGAGCTGAAATTTTCAGGAAATGTAGTCCTCTACTGGAATAAGAATCACTGGATTATTTTTACACAATTATTTCATTTGCAAATTCAATATTCATCACCTTTGAACCACCCCTAGAATGAGCAAATTAAATTACATTTCTATTGAATTTCCTAGAAGAAATATTTGTTTGAAATTCAAAGGATCGTGCACTCACTTTCGCATTTGATATTACATTTTCCTCCTGCGGAGCCCCATTTGCACCACGTCTTATCATTTATCTAAAAATATTTATTCTTAAAACTTTATTAGATTGAAATATATGTTTTACTTGAAACAATCCCAAGGCCTTACTTCTGTCAGCTTTCAATGTAACCTTTGAGGTATCCTTGCCGCTTTCGCTTTCAATTAAACAAACCCCTGAAACATCGTTATCAACCCCTGAAAAAAACAAAAATTATTACAAACTTACAATTCCCAACAAAGGTACGCTCAAATCCATTATTCAACAGTTCCTTTGTAAGGCCGCATTTGGTGAAGTTTTTGGCTTCCACATCGTACGCGAGCAGTAAACAGGCGAGCACGATCGACGCAAAAAACTGAACTTTCCTCATGTCTTTTGGGTCCTAATTAAATAACTCTACTTCCAAAAGTTGAGCTTAGTTTAATTGTCGGGTTGGTGCACTTTAAGAAAAGCCTTCTTGCGTTTTGCAGGGGTCGACGGCTTTGGACCTGTAAAAGGAAAGATATTTTTTTTTGTCAATGAATAAATTTGGTCACATGAGGCTTTAAAACTAGAAATTTTTAACTTACCTTTCTCAGCACTTCAAAATTACTGATCTATTTTTAGAATCATCCTTTATCACTACCAAAGTAATAAAATCTCCACTGTTGTTTCTTGATAATAATTACGTTGCAATTTATTAATTATTAATCACATTTTATGCTAGAGCATATCGGTGTAGGTAATGGCTAACTAAAATATTAATGGCTTCGATAAGCGGATGTATATTACAAACGAACCTTGACTTCTGAATATGATGTTTTTGAACATTATTCATTATACATACTGTTTGTTAATGTTAAACAATTATAATTTTTTTCAATAAGCATTCAATTGCATGCTACAACTGATGCTTCAATTATGAAAAAAAAAGAATAAGTTCTATTATCGGATTTTCCATAATACTAATTCGATTCTTGGTAGTTGATGCATTATTCAATATTATTTATTTTGGCGTCTAGAAAAATAATTTAAAAAAGAGTTTTTTGTTTAATGCAGTACGTAATGCTAAATTTTGAAAATTGTAGTTGATTATTTTTATTGAAGCATTATTCATTTGAATATTTTACTCATGTATAAAATTTCTCATAAGAGAAGTGACAAATCGAAAAATTACAGCGGTTATACAACTCACTGTACATTATTCATATATGACACGAGAGGCTTAACAAGTGATAAGCCTTTTGGGATTATCGCGCTTTGTTTATGAAAGTTTAGTTCGTTGTATAACCTTTTGAATTCCACTCGATGTTTCAGGATTACGTAATACTTTTACCTGACACTCAACGCGTTACCAGCAACACCACTCCTCCTTCGGAGTCGTGGTGTTGCTGCGTAACGCGTTTCGTGACAGGTAAATTCGGTATTCGGTAATCCTGAAACCTCTTGTGGTATTACATTCGATAATACAATTCACTGTACATTATTCCGATATGACACGAGAGGCTTAACAAGTGATAAGCCTTTTGGGATTATCGCGCTTGGTCTATTAAAGTTTAGTTCGTTGTATAACCTTTTGAATACCACTCGATGTTTCAGGATTACCTAATAATTTTACTTAACACTCAACGCGTTACCAGCAACACCACTCCTCCTTCGGAGTCGTGGTGTTGCTGCGTAACGCGTTTCGTGACAGGTAAAAGTATTATCCGGTACTCGTGAAACATCTTGTGGTATTACATTCGAAAATTCAACGTTGTCTAGGTATAAGTATAATCGGATGTAATACCACAAGGGGTTTCAGAATTACCGGATAATACTTTTACCTGTCACGAAACGCGTTACGCAACAACACCACGACTCCGAAGGAGGAGTGGTGTTGCTGGTAACGCGTCGAGTGTCAGGTAAAAGTATTAGGTAATCCTGAAACATAGAGTGGTAATCAAAAGGTTATACAACGAACTAAACTTCAATACTTTATTAATTTTTATTATTAATAATAACAATATTGCCACCAAGCGCGATAATCTCAAAAGGCTTATCACTTGTTAAGCCTTTCGTGTCATATAGGAATAATGTACAGTGAGTTGTATAATCACCTATACTAGTCAATTGAACATTTTGACGACACAAAAAAAGTTAATGTTTGTATTGTAAATTAGAGACAGGAATCAATAGTAACCATTGAGACACAATAGGTACATTCAGGCCGCCCCAGCGGCTAAACTCCAGCCACTTACCAGGGAATTTATTCTCGAAACCAAGGAACAGCGTTCTCATAAGAACGATTGCTCTGTCATTGTCAGTGTTATGCCGGATGACAAAGACAGAACCTTCGTTCCAACGAGAACGCTGCTCCCCTGTTTTGAGAATAAAGTTCCTGCTAAGTGGCTGAACTAAGCCCTGACACCGCCTGAATGCACCCATTTATTTGGTGTATTTGTCGAAAGAAAAAGCCATTGAAAATTAAAATCCGGTTTGGTGAAGTGAAAGATGAGGAAATCGACGAAAGTATAGTGAAAGTTGAACCAAAAAACAGTGAAATCTAAAAACAGTATTTGGAGGCAGTTTCTGTCATTTTGCGGCGAAAAAAAGTACACTTTTGATCAAGATACTTCAATATCCAAACATGCATCTATCCTAAAAAGCTGGGTCTTTAATATGAGAAAAAGGAACAGGGAAGAATATAAAGAGCATTACAGTAAAAGTTCTCTGGAATGTTATCGCAAACAGTGGCGTATCTACCGGTGTGCCATGTGTGCGAAGCACACAGGCCCGGCCCCGAAAGGGGCCCGTGAGTTCCACATCGAAATTGCAAAAAAATATTTTAAAAGATAATAGACCTACAATTATTAATTGTGTTTTTTGCTGGTATAATAATGATAAATATATGGACAATAGTCTATCTACGCGCAAAAAAATACCGGCAGCGGTATAGTATTTTTATTCTGACTTGAGACACGCCTATACGAGGATGTTTCAACATCACCGTCGCTCTTCTTCTATTAATTTCATAGAAAATCTATTGTAAGTTTCTCTGTATATATTTCAAGTCGGAATAAAAATACTATACATAGTTATTCATACCACTTTCGAAAATGGTGAATTCACAATTTGACGTTTAAATAAAAATACCTAAAAAGGCGTATTTTTTGAACGACTTTTGGGTTAGTTTGGGTTAGTAAAAAAAAAATCGCCTCCGGCCTAGGACCTGTAATGGGCCCGCGGACATTTTGGTACACAGGCCCGGAGCTGGATTGATACGCCACTGATCGCAAAATTGCTCATGGAAAAGTATTTTAACGACTTTAAAATTTAATTTTATTCCACAATTGTTATAAAATTCGTGAAATATTCTCCCTAAATACCATTCGTGCTTAAAAATTAACCAAATAATTTTCATTCAAGCTTGTTGTACAAATTCCACTCGTGTTTAGAACTCGTGGAATTAAAACAACAAGCTTTCATGAAAATTCGCGGTAATTTTTAAGCACTCGTGGTATTACCCCCGAAAAATCAACTAAATTGATATAGATATTCCAAATGTTTGTGGTCTTTATGCGAAAAGATATCATATCCATCCACATCTTCATAAGGACCTTTGTCTCATAATAATGTAAGTTTTCACTATTCAAAACATACTTCATATAAAAGGATCAACTGATTTTTATCCATTGATCTCTATTTGTCTCATGTCTCTGTTCATTGATCAACATTTTTGGTATATCCATATCATTGTATCTACGGTACCAAAATCTTTCTCTACTCTGGAAGCTAACAACAAAAAAGTCCCAACTCTAGAAAACTGCTACCAATTAAAACCTCACTTGACTCTTATTCATATGGAAAACCCAAAAACAGTTTTGGCTGGAAAAGTTGCAGAGCATTCAGCTATTCTATCAAGCATCATTAGACTGAATCTACATAAAATCACATTGTGCAGACGATACCCAACAGCCAATCATAATTCAGCCATTTCTCGCCGGCATTCGGTAGTGCCCCACTGCTACACTTACCTTAGAGTGTAACAAATGGGATCCTGACCTATCATGGCTGACGGCTTCCCCCAGGGGACACCAATTACCAAAAAGAAATAATCGAACCATGAATTGTTGTCCTGGATATCAGTGAAATGCAAAATTTCAAGTTAAAAAGAGAGATGAGTTATTATTGAAAACATTTATACAGCCAAATGCTCAAAGTCCAATGTCACACTTACACCTAACCAGAACTAGCTTATCAAAGTTCTGGTTCCTGTACCTATGTCACACTTAAAAAAGGAAAAACAGAATATAATTCCTCTGAAAAGTTGATGGAAGCTTACATGGAGTTTTCTACGTCCTGTGGCATGCCTGAATGGCAGTTGAAAATTGTCAAAAATTGAATTTTTTCTTGGATCTTGTACTTTTTTAGAATAAAAAATCTTCGCAAATTCAAAAATAGTAAATATCTAAAGCAGAAGTTACCAAATAACTTCTTAAATATCAAAAAAAGTTAATGAATGAATTTTTTATTATCTTGAAATTTAGTATTGAAGTTAGAATTTGAATTCTCTAGACATGGACATTTGTACCGCATCCAGAGCGAAAAGCATCTGATAAAAAGGGCTGGACATATTACTGGTAGATTGAGGGACAGCGAATGATCCAGGAAACTACGATTGAAGATACTATTGCTTATTGTTCCTCTTCTGGAACAATCTTCTTCAAATAAGAATATTTCTACTACAATATATGTATAACAAAATCACCGTCTCTCATCATCTAGAAAACATATACAATTTTGCATGGAAAACGTGGAGAGCCTTCAGCTATTCTTATATGCCCCATTATAGGCTTTATCTACTTGTAACTAACTAACAATGTATTAGTACAACAAAAGGGATCCAGGACAACTATGGCAATAGACTTCCCCAGGACCACCGTACCAGAAAGAAAATAATCAAATTACGAATTTTTGTCCTGGATATGAGTAATTTAAAATATGCCAGCCAAATGCTCAAACTTACCAATTAGAAGTACCAACGCGCTTACGTCAAATTCATTAATCTGCCCTACATCAATTTGTTCTAAAATAAATTCTTAACGTTCCTTTTCCCCATTCTCCGTTTAGTATTTGCTTGTTGAGAATCCACACTGACAGCGTCCAACCAACGTCGTCTTCCTCTGGTATCTTCAGAGGTTTCCATAAAGATTTTTTTTTTTGGATTTTTTACAGTATCTGGAAGTTGTTGATTTAAGAAATCGGTAACATTGATTCAAGATATTTAGGACAACAATCTTGAGAAGGGAATAAAATAGTTGTTGAGTACTTACCAAATTCACTAATTAGTACACTATGTCATTAATTATTGGAAAATTCAGTCAAAAATGATAATTTACTAAAACAAGAAATGTATCAAGTGCATTCCTCTACGAACGGGATTCACAAACTTACAAAGAATAGGCAATAAAGTAGAAAAAGCTTTTTAAAAATTCCCACTGATGTAAACAGCTTGATTATATTATACTTGTTTAGGATAAGATAAATTTAAGTTTTTTTGTGGAGAATTTTTTCTGTAAATTCGAATACTAAACATAAATAATACATACTTATTGTAGGTAAAGGTTTGTAGAATCAATGCAAATAAATCCAGAAACTTAGGTATTTGAATCATATAAATACTAAAAAGTAGGGTAGGTACCACTTTCGATAGATTCTAAACTGAGTTTGAATTAAATTCGTTGGAGAAAAAGTAACACCAAAATCGACTGGAGGAAAAGACAGTATAAGTACCTACATCATCAGCAAGGAATAAGAACTGGAAAAGTTTTACTAAGATTTCAGAGGCTCTTAATTACTCACAAAGCAGATCTTTCTGTTTTTCCTCTTCCTTAAGTAGACAGTGCTGGGACCATGTAACGGATAGAGATCGTTATCCCTATCGCTATTATTTTTGCTGTCTTCTTTTCTCTTCTCGAAATCAATAGAGAGGTGATATTGTCAACTCATAA